AGACCTTTCATTGACATTAGCATTGTCCATTGAGGGCTTTATTGAAGAATAATCCAGCTTCTTTAGACTTGTATAATGGATTAATGCCGCTGTGAGTTATCAATATTTAAATCAACTTTAATATTTATCGTATTCCGTAACCAATATTTTAGAAGTTTAGTCTGTTTTACCAAACAATACTGGAGGCAAACAACCTATCTATCAATGGAAACTTTAAAAGGTTTGTTACAGTAAAACTCATTAATATAAGCGAGACTTCGTGCGCATATACAGTTTATGAATTATGTATATCCTGATAAAACGTAGGACACTTTATACCAGATGTAATAAAAAATACTTTGCTAAACCTTTTCTGCTGTCATTCCTTTGCATTTAAGGGGAGAGGGTAAATGGCGATAGAATTTATAGGAGATGCTGTGCAATATTTTGGCTTCAACAAACAGGTACTCGTGCAGACAAAAAAGAAAATTCATGCAGTTGTGAATTGTCGTATGTCAGCTGTGCACTGTCCATTTCAAACAATTTTGTACGTTATATTTTGTCTTCCTGGTGTTTAATATAAACGATGATAACCTTTTAAAAAAAAAATCTAGAGCAATATGTCTATAAACAGTTTTAGAATCAATAGAATGGACATTCAATGTGTATTTGGCTTGTGTCCAAATGTGTCACGTTTAAGACCGGCAAGGCGCTAATCCTACGACCTATAAACAGTCGCTTTTGAGACATCTGTTTAACAAAATGTATACCATGTCCACATCAGAACAATTCATTGGCATATTATAAGCATATTATAAATATCAGAGCCAGAACAGAAACGTATGCGTGAAATAAAACTACGCCCGAACCGGCGAACCCCGAGAAAATAAAAATATTTCAAAGCGTACAGTCATACGTTCTCGTTGCTTGATGTCCTGAATTTTCTGTTGCTATAAGAATCTGCATTTTAGCATGTTTGTATAATTTAAAAGCAAACAGAAATCAATTTAGCAAGTAGTTTGAGGTATATATGATTCTTGAAGATGAATTAATGATTGTACAGAACGGCCACTCCTTGCAATCGAAGTGCGGAAGTGGAAACATGTAATATGAGAGTTTTCCATCCCCCTCTTGGGCTATCAATTTTCAATGGGTCACGTGACCAACTCCGACCAGGGTCTTTGCTTCCCAAGAGCAAAGAGCCTGGGTACGAGGTTGCATGGATTAATGGGTTATTTTTTTTGGGGGGGGGGGAGGGGGAGGGCAGTTGCCCTGCTCGGAAACTACCATTCCCTGCACTTGGTACCGAAATGAAGAATTAGGGCGACATAATTGGTTTTGGTTTGTTTGAGTGATAACGGTATACCTTAAAGTAGAAATATTCTGCGACCTAAAAGGACGCCTTCACGGCTTGGGTTTTTAGAATAGAACGACACAGTATAAAAAATTCTTGTATGAACAAGCAGCAGTCAGCGTTGCATGACACTGTGATTATACTTCTCAATTATTGTCAATTATGTTCTGAGTGTTCGAACGGAAGACTGACGAAATGACACATTAAGCACTCCCTTCAAAAGCCGTCGATATTAATTGTCAAGAAATATACGGTTAACCTAGACATAGTTAACAAACGTTTTCCCAGCCAGTTTCTGCCAGCACATAGTTCAGTTCGCCGCTTTACGCATGAGCAATAAAGCATGTTAGCTGCTCAAACCATAGAGATTATAAATAACACTAGAGGAGGCATTTTATACATTTATCGAGTGAGATGCCCCAAATCCTGATACTTACCCACACATCGTACATTGGCATCACTCTAGTATTTAGATACATGAACTTGTGGTTAGAGCTTTGGTTAGAGCTCGACAACGGTCTCTCTGTTGCTCAGTTGGTTAAGCCGGTTTTCCACTAGCGAATTTTTTCGCGCGAAGCGATCTTTTTCCTTTGTCGGCATCCATTTTGCCACGTCTTGTTGACGTATACGTTGGTCAAATTTAGCAAGATTTCTCCCACTCGTGCGGGCTCGTATTGTCAGCGGACATCTTACAGAAAGTGGGCAGTTCTGTGCAAAATGCAAAAGTTTCAGTTTTTCACAACAAGTCCGCTGAAAATGCGAGCCTGCGGTACTGGGAGTAAATTTGCTGAATATGACCAACGTATATAATAAGTGATACCGACAAAGGAAAAAGGTCGCTTCGCGCGAGAAAATTCGCTGCTGGAAAACAGGCTTTAGAGCACTGGAATGGCAGAGCCGCAGGTTTGATTCCTGTCACAGGGTAGACTTGCTCCAAGTCTCTCTTTCATTGTCATATCGATCCACTATAGTGTACATTACATGACGTAGCACGGAGGGGCGGAGCGAGAAAGAGACACTTGTCAACTTCGGAAAATCTTGGTTAAAACTGAACCGAAAATGCAAGACTTCCTTTAATTGTTCTCTGTCAGTGTTTTAAATATGTATTGATCTAGCACAGTGTAAATAACACGAGTTCCATTATAGTAAATGTTAAAGAAAGAAATTGAAGGAAAGAATTTTGGCAAGTCTTGCATTTTCGGTTCAGTTTTGGACCGAGATTTTCCGAAGTTGACAAGTCTCTCTTTCTCTCTCCGCCCCTCCGTGCTACATCATATAATATACACTATAGTGGACCGATACTATATGACAATGAAAGAGAGACTTGGAGCAAGTCTAGTCAGAGGGCTGATAGTTGCGTTTTTCGCAACCGCTCCTGGTTAGGTCTAAAGGCCCATACAGACAGGGGAGGAAAAAATAGGCGAGCACGCGAGCGGCGCTCGCAGGAAAGTTTTCACCAGTCGCAGGAAATTTTTACTCGGGTTACGTGTTGTAAGATTTGTAATTTGAAATTTTGAAGAAAGACCCGTCACACCACAGGCGGCCCAGACCCAGACTGGAAAGTTTGTAAAATGCGCGGCGGAGATCGAAATTTGCCCGTTTTTTTGCGCGGCCAGATGGCGAAATTTGCGCGGGCAACTAGGGCGTGGTCAATTCATCTCCAGGGCCCCACCCGATGCGATTTCTTATTAGTACCTTTTTGTTCCAACATTATCTATTAAACAATAAATTACTACGAAGTAAATACATTAATATCAGTATTTATAAGCATGTGTAATTGAATCTATACTGTACTTACCAACGTTTACTTCATCAGCAATCATAGTCCACCTACCGTGTCGGCATATCCATCCTTCCATCATGTACAAGTACATAGCTGTAAGTAGCACATATTTGGTTTTTGAGAAAAGTACCTTTCAAACTCATCTTTTCTTCCTACGAAAGTTCGGAAGACAAATGAGTTCAAGAGGCAGCTCACTCACACATAAATGAAAAATGCCAATATAGCCATCAGAAGAAACAATTCCCAGCTCAAGCTTGTCAGTTCGATTTACACGCATAGTTCATTTATTGTTTCAAACACTTGATATACGAAACCGCATTGTCCATTGATAGTTAGTGAATTCAGCAGCAAAAATGTGTAGTTCTATTATGTCATTCGTCATTAGTTCAAAAAATTGGCAGGAAGAGAAGCAGTCCAGCAGATGAGACAACGCAATCCTTTAATGTGTAATTCAATTATATCATTTTTCAGTTCAAAAATTAGGGGGAAGAGCAGCAGTCCAGCAGATGAGACCAGTGGCGTAGCCAGACCTTCATCTTTGGGAGGGCGAAGCGAGCGCCGAAGGCGCGAGACCATCTAGAGGGGTCCGGGGGCATGCACCCCCGGGAAAATTTTGAAATCTAGAGTCCCTGAAATGCGATTTCAAGCATTTTGGGGGTGAAATCTTGCAGAATTCCGAAGATTATAAAGTAGATCGAAAACATAAATTTTCCCAGACATTTCTAATTATCTACTCAGAATTAAATAAATTGGAAAAGTCACGATCAAAAACAGAAGGAGCCGGTCAGCGTCATCTTATTTCCCCTCTGTTATGCTGGGGGAAGAAAATCCCAATGTGATTTTGATCAGAAATGTTGCATTTAAATCATTCTAGGTTCTATCAGACAGCATTTCCGCATTCTTAAAATTGCGTTGCTTTTTTATACGATACAGAATAAGTCTGAGAAGAATATTCATGCTATGATAATGCAAACATGTAAATCTAAACTAGATCTTTTCTTCTTGAAACCATATCGTACAACTGCTTTAACGAGATTTTACAAATCTAGTTCCTCCAGTATATCGTCGTTTTCCTCAGTCGAGATGTACTTAATCAGTTTCAGCTTCGAGGATGTAACGTGTACCCCCCCCCCCCCAATTTCTCTACGGATTTAGCCTTTTTCAGAGAATGTGTTTTTTTTCGATTGGGGGGGCGGTCGCCTCCCCTCACCCCCCCTTGGCTACGCCACTGCACATGCAAAAGAGCATTTAATTTTTTGGGATGAATAAATTTGGTAGAATTTGGAAATCTGGCATATTTTTTGCGATTTATATTTCGATTTTGTTGTATTGTTTTGCTTGACCTTGTCTATTGTCTATTGACCTTGTTTACATAATATAAGTTCTATTTAAAGTAACCCACCTGATTGGATAGTAAAATTAGAAAGCCATTAAAGTGCTGAAGTGCACAATATTATATATATTTATACGACAACGTCACTGTACAGCATTAGCGACAAATGGTCGCAAACTGTTATCCTTCCAGCACGGGGGAAAGGCTGATCTGTGCGCAGACTATGCTATTACCTATACTAATAATTACATATCCAACATATATATGTTTGGGAAATTGATAATTTTGTAATTAAAAGTGATATCTTTAGAGGATTTTTCAATTGTAAAAATATTCTTAATGAAATTATCGTGTTACCATGAGAACTACTTTAAATACTTCATGTTCGAAAAAATACAATGGTTTTATCAACAAAGCAAGGGTTTTTGCATGCCTGATGCATGTATTTTCTAGTTTTACAAGCATAGACATAGTTCTGTCCTTTACAATCCACACGAAAGTAACACATGTACAATTCCATTAATTTTGAAGCTACTTACCCAGATGCATCACGATTGTCGGCTACTAGATTGTGATTCAGGCCGCCAATAGCAGCGTTACATGTTGGACAAGTGTAATTTTGCGTTGGCCTTCCACACTAAGAAATAAAAACAATTTTTTATATAGTGGAAGAAAACGCCGCGTATAATGCAAGTACAATATTATTTAACATTCGCTTTTGATTTGAGAGGAGATTTTAAAAGTCCCTTATTTTTTTAACAAACGCCCGAAACTTAGCGAAAAAATGCTCGGCCGCCATCTTGGTTTTGAAAGTTTTCCAAAATTTCCGAAGACAAACAAAGTTTTACTGGATTTTTAGTTATGTGGTTGTTATTTGCATTACTGTGATTTAAATATACACATATGTCTAACTCAGAAGTGAGCATTTAAAGCCGCCATTTAAATGATTAAAACCGATTGAAAGTGACTGCTGACATATTCTGGATGATGGCCTGCTTATTCATAGCTCGTTAATATAGGTACATGCAAAACTTTAAAGCACTTTGCATTTTCAAGGAAGAATTTGATTATTTTAAAATTTAAATCCCTTTCATACTTCGATTTAATCAATAACAGGCATATGCAATCTACTACTACAGATGTTCAAATGCATATATATATATATATATATATATATATATATATAGTGAAATGTTGCTGATAACAAGATACAAGTGTTGTATATAGAAAAGGTTTCAATGTGCAACCAAAAGAGACATTTATAACGTAAAATAAAATAAAAGCCACTCAAATTTTGCACAAACGTTTTCGCTTTAATGTTAGCTCCTCAGGTGCATATTTACAATGAGTGGAATTTAGTTTATCTATTATCTACGTTCTATGATATCATATTATAATAACTATGTTAGGAATGCATTTATTTACATGGTGTGAAGTCACCCGTTAAAAACATTCTATTGATCTAAATGTAAGCATAAACTTAATGGTTTTTTAATTAGCGTTCAGATCCGGATTCAGTATATTGATAAGTTCTATTTCTTTCATCTCCCTAAAAGTCTGTCCGTGTTAATGCATTGATATATAGGCATTATTTTGAAAATTCCGTTGTTACACATATTTAAGTGTTCGCTTACTTTTAGATGTCTATACTCTTCGTGTCGAATTTGTTCCTTGTGCAATGTCACTCTTTTTCGTAAGTTTTCTGTCTGGCCGACGTAGAAGCTGTCGCATTTTGAGCAAATGATAACGTAAATGACATATCTCGCTTTGCAGTTCATCGTTGAATTGACTTTCCAGGTTTTTCCGCTCTTTAATGTAACAGACTTTCCTGTGATTAAAACATCGCATGTTCCACATCGCTTTTCCTCGCATTTTGTTACACAGTGTTCTCTGTCCTCTGAATTG